GGATTGTAGTAGGTTTCTCAGTCCTAACAGTAATGCCATGATGATTCTCCACTATGTCCGAGCGTGGCAGCAACAGAGAGTTGGTGTGGTTCCTTGATCCATGGCCAGCAGACCCTGGTGGAAGTGAGAGCAACAGGCAGCCTACTTTAACTTCCACCACTGGCAGAAGGGCTGTAATGGATGTTATGCCAGTGGAAGATCAGGCATAGCGATGCTCTCCTCCCCCCTGAATGCTCTTGAAACACATCATCTCTGCTCTCATGCCAGGGATGGAGGTGTGGCTGATAACAGAGGTGATAGAGTCACCTGTGTCAGCTTTCTGCTGGTGGAGTTCCCCATATCAAGGTGAATTCTTCAGCTGTTTTAAGGCCACTTTTACTCCTGGGGGACTTCTGTGCCATTGTGCATGCGCAGAATTTATGTCCCTTGAAGATTTCTTCATTTCTCCACAGAAAAATGACTTTCTGATGGGGAAGCAAAGGGAAGCCACAAGAGTGGTCATGCGACCTTCCCCAGCAGTATGTTTTGGGTGCCCAGGGCAGCCGGTAGAGAGGTAAATAACTATGGGGCAGAGGTCAGGACTGGGGAAGACCTGGCTGGTGGCTCTTATCCTGCACCTGACTCACCTGCTAGTCCCGTCTGGGCTGGGGAGGATGGGACTTCCTCTTCCCCTGCATGGCATCCAGGGCTGTATCAGACCCACCCCCAGATTTCTCCCTGGCTGTAGGAAGCTCTGCAAACTCCCTTCCCCGCCCCGCACTTCCTGCACCCATCACTCCTCAGCTGCAGGGGGAGAAATCACTGTACAGGGAGCTGCTCCCACATCCACCCAACCCCACTGTATCCGGACCCCCTCATACCCAGACCCTCCAGCCGAGCGTCAACCCCCCTCACCCAGAACCCCCCTGAGGAGCCCCACTCCCCCTGCACCTGGACCACCCCAACAAGCCACCCGCACCTGGATCCCCACCCTACTGAGCCCCAACCAGATGCACTTGGATCCCTACCCCACTGAGCCTCACTCCCCGCACACTCGGAGCCCCCACACTGAGCCCCCTCACACCCAGATCTCCCTGCTGAGTTCTATCCCCCCAAAACCCAGATCCCCAACACTGAGCCCCAACCACCTTCATCTGGACCCCCCCTGAAGAGTCCTATTACTGTTGCACCCAGAACCCTCCAACAAGCCCCTGTGTGTCCAGATCCCCCCTGTACCCTGATCCCCCACTGTGCCTCCCGCACCCAGATTGCCCCACAGAGAACTCGCTCAACCCACACCTGGATCCCCCCCACACTAAGTCCCTTTACTTTTATATCATGCCTTGCTGAGCCTACCTGCCCACATCTGTTGCACCTGGCATGGAGGGGTAGTATAGCGAGCTCTCACCTCTGTGCAGCCAGTGGCCTGTGCTCCCATTGCCATGCTGGAGCCTCCACATTTATTTGAGAAATAAAAATTGCAGAATTTTAAAATATTGTGTGCAGAATTTTAAATTTTCTGGCACAGAATTTTTTATTTTTTGTTGCAGAATTCCCTCAGGAGTACCCTTTGCACCACATAAGATGGGTTTAAAGACCTGCTTCTGAAAATACTTATACGTAACTTCATTCATTGGCTACATCTACATTTGATTTGGCAAGTGTGATTCCTGGTTTGCATAGACATACCCACTAGCTAAGACTAGCAGTGTAGCCAGGGTAGCATGGGAGATAGCTCAGTCTAGCTGCCTCCATACATACCCACCCTGACACCCTGGGTACATACTTGGGTGGTTAGCCCAAACCGCTCCCTGTGCTACCTAGGCTACATTGCTATTTTTAGTGTGCTAGCTTGAGCAGGGCTAGTGCAGGTATGTCTGCACCAGCTGGGAATCACACCTCCCACCACAAATGTAGACGTAAGCATTGAGTAAAGTAGCTCACCGGTGTAAAACTGTGCAGAATCGGGCCTAAAAGTGTAATGCTTCAGAGCTACAGCTGGTGTAAATCAGCTGAGGTACTGGCCCTTATCCTCATTAGGGCCATATTGTTATTTTGCACATTATAATATTATCAATTATTTGTATTATCATAGTGCCTAGTGGTGGACCAGGACCCTCATCATGCTAAGTGTTGTAAAAACCCAGTATGAAAAGATGGTCCCTGTCCCAGAGAGTTTTCAATCCAAGTAATCACTTGCAAACTTGCAAATTTCTACTCAGTTCTTTTTTTGCCTCTGTCTTCATGAACAAGGTCAGCTCCCAAGACTACTGCACTGGGCAGCACAGTATGGGGAGGAGGTGACCCAGCCCTCCATGGAGAAAGAAGTGGTTCAGGACTATTTAGAAAAGCTGGACGAGCACAAGTCCATGGGGCTGGATGCGTTGCATCTAAGGGTGGTAAAGGAGTTAGCGGATGTGATTTCAGAGCCATTGGCCATTATCTTTGAAAACTCATGGCGATCGGGGGAGATCCCAGACAACTGGAAAAAGGCTAATGTAGTGCCCATCTTTAAAAAAGGCAAGGAGGAGGATCCGGAGAACTACAGGCCAGTCAGCCTCACCTCAGTCCCTGGAAAAATCATGAAGCAGGTCCTCAAGGAATCCATTTTGAAGCACTTAGAGGAGAGGAAAGTGATCAGGAACAGTCAGCATGGATTCACCAAGGGCAAGTCATGCCTGACTAATCTAATTGCCTTCTATGACGAGAAAACTGGCTTTGTGGATGAGGGGAAAGCAGTGAACATGTTATTCCTTGACTTTAGCAAAGCTTTTGATACAGTCTCCCACAGTATTCTTGACAGTAAGTTAAAGAAGCATGGGCTGGATGAATGGACTATAAGGTGGATAGAAAGCTGGCTTGATCACCAGGCTCAATGGGTAGTGATCAATGGCTCCATGTCTAGTTGGCAGCCAGTATCAAGTGGAGTGCCCCAAGGGTCGGTCCTGGGGCTGGTTTTGTTCAATATCTTCATTAATGATCTGGAGGATGGCGTGGATTGCACTCTCAGCAAGTTTCCAGATGACTTTAAACTGGGAGGAATGGTACATACGCTGGAGGGTAGGGATAGGATACAGATGGCCCTAGACAAATTGGAGGATTGGGCCAAAAGAAATCTGATGAGGTTCAACAAGGACAAGTGATGAGTCCTGCACTTAGGACAGAAGAATCCCATGCACTGCTACAGACGAGGGACTGAGCTGCTAGGCAGCAGTACTGCAGAAAAGGACCTTGGGGTTACATTGGACAAGAAGCTGGATATGAGTCAACAGAGTGCCCTTGTTGTCAAGAAGGCTAATGGCATTTTGGGATGTATACATAGGGGCATTGCCAGCAGATCGAGGGACGTGATTGTTCCCCTCTATTCGATACTGGTGAGGCCTCATCTGGAGTACTGTGTCCAGTTTTGGGCCCCATACTACAAGAAGAATGTGGAAAAATTGGAAAGAGTCCAGCGGAGGGCAACAAAAATGATTAGGGGGCTGGAGCACATGACTTATGAGGAGAGGCTGAGGGAACTGGGGATGTTTAGTCTGTAGAAGAGAAGAATGAGGGGGGATTTGATAGCTGCTTTCAACTACCTGAAAGGGGATTCCAAAAAGGATGGATCTAGACTGTTCTCAGTGGTAGCAGATGACAGAACAAGGAGTAATGGTCTCAAGTTGCAGTGCGGGTGGTTTAGGTTGGATATTAGGAAAAACTTTTTCACTAGGAGGGTGGTGAAGCACTGGAATGGGTTACCTAGGGAGGTGGTGGAATCTCCTTCCTTAGAGGTTTTTAAGGTCAGGCTTGATAAAGCCCTGTCTGGGATGATTTAGTTGGGGATTGGTGCTGCTTTGAGCAGGGGGTTGGACTAGATGTCCTCTGAGGTCCCTTGCAACCCTGATATTCTATGATTCTACTCAGTCACATGGGGCAAATACTACAGTTTGTGATGGATGAGTAAAATATCTATAGTTTGTTCATTCTCATGATGGTGAAGTGTAGACACAGAGATCTTGCACCTGGACTGATGTTTTTGTGGGAGAATTTGGCACCTTTGTTATATGCTATATCTTGTCATCATTTTGAGTGCAGAACTCCCACTGGAGTCAAAAGGAATTTACTGTGTGGGGAAGGACTGACTGCAGCATTTAGCCTTTAGTAAGTCTTAAAGTGAAAAGTCCAAATTTTCTTCTCTGAAAGGGGAACTTGACCCAAATTCAGTTCCGAAATGGGAAGAGGTTTGAAACTGGCTGTATATCATAAGTGTTTTGTGTGGCATCACATTTAATTGTTGTTAAATGGCTTTCATTTCAATCACACTGTATCTTCTAAGTGACTGGGAGAACATGTCGCCATAGCACTATGGTTGGCATCTTCTGAGACATTCCTACCACCTTAAATGAATTCACATGAAAGAAAAAGTGAGCGTGAAGTACTGAACCAGATTTGATATTAATGGCAATACTGTAGAGCTAGAATAGTGCTTTTGGAATTGGGGAGCTCCAATTCATTGACCTTCTTTGCTGGATGTTCAATAATAACAGTGTGAGGAGGTACAGGGGCATCGCCCAGTCCATGTGTACATGGACGGGGCATCGCCCAGTCCATGTGTACATGGACAGGGCATCGCCCAGTCCATGTGTACATGGCCATTCACCCCATACAATCTACAGCTGTTCTACCTACCTTGAGATCCAATGGCTGCAGTGCACCAAAAACACAGCCTAGGATCACTGCAGTGTAGGAACATCATGACCTCACCTCTTTTCCTCCTTCCAGGGTCCGTTTTTTGTTGCTATACTGGTAGGAGGGAGGGGCTGTGCCTAACAGCCACGTGTCACTGGAAGACTAGGTCTAGACTGGGGCAATCCTCAGTAGCTGCTTTACAGTCAGATTCCACTGGAGATACAGCACAAACAGAACCCCACAACAGAGCATCTGGCCTTACCTTCGTAGGTACGGGGGGCAGTGTCAATGAGAGTGTTTCTAAGCCTTTCTTTCTTCCCACCCACCTATCTATTTATTTATTGACAAAGGCCTTGAGAGAGGTTTGACAAAGGCATTAAAGAAGCTGGATGACTATCTGAACACCCCTCTGCCTGAAGAAATTGATGCAGACAGCACTGAAGAGGAGAAAGTGTCTAAACGCAAGTTTCTGGATGGGGATGAGCTGACGCTTGCCGATTGCAACCTTCTGCCCAAACTTCATGTTGTTAAGGTAAAAGGCTTCATCTGATGGACAAGCAAATGTAAAATGCCCAGGTCTGTAAACCTGAACTATCCTAGCAATGCTGTAGCTCTATCTGCCTGTCCCTTCTTTTCTATAGGAAAGAGCCTGGTCTGTAAATTGTTTGTAAGGTCCTAAGATCTTGGCCAAAAGTGCAAAGAAAATTAAACAAGATGTAAAAAGACTCTTTGATTGGAAAGAGGAAGAAACACTTGATAGAATGTGCATTAATGTAAGGACCCCGCTCATCTCCAGTGCACTGTGAGATGGGAAGAACAGGCTGGGGTATTGCATGGTACTTCCTAGCTCCCTAGAGACTTCATCTCTCACTATTCACTAGCCTGCGTTAGCAAGTACGCAGTGTTTGGGTTCTGTGGGATGTCCGCCACAACTAAGGCAGAGCAAACAGGACTCCCCCCATTGCTCTGGCAGCCAAGCGTAAGTCTAGCAGGTGCATTAACAGGATATGGGGCCTGCTGAGCAGCTAGATCCCTTCCTCTGAGTTAAAAGGGAGGTGATCGATTAAATTCACTAGATCTCTCCTACACAGCATTATCTGCCCCACTGCCGGTAGATGTCAAAGGGGTCAGAGCAAGCTGAAGTTCTCCTCCCTTCCAGATACTGTTGGGTTGGTGGAGTCCAATTCTCCAATCTCAAGAATATACATAATAGGGGAAGGTCCAGGGTTATGGAGTAAGGACCTCTCTGGCAGATAGTGACCGGGGAAAGAGGAAGGGCTTGGGGCCAATATATATAAAGCTTTCTTCTTTCCCTAGTGTCTGGGTTTGCAGGGAGGAAAGAGCAGAAGCTTGTGCTAGCTATTAGGAATGTACCAGCAGATCTCACAGCTAATACAGTACAGGCCAGTTTGCTTTTAATTTGGACTATTTAAAAATATTTTGTCTTTAATCTTTTGCACTTGTTGCACTCTGTCACTGTATTTCCTTTTTGTTTCTTCACGTTGGTATCAAATCACACCTGGCTCTCTCAACTAAACCGCACATCTCCTTGGACTGATTATCTTGCCAGTGCCCCTGTCTCCCTCATTCTGCACACATTGGTTTTATAAAATAGGGTTGTATAAGCATTGTGACCTTTTGGCTTCCCTTGATAGGAAGTTTATTTTTAAAGCTAGCTACCATGACAGCTGCCAACCCTCGTCATCCAGATTCTTTCTTTCCACTGGACCATTTTATAAATTATTTTTATTTTTTTCTGACGATTGTGTGTACATGCTTGATCAAGTAGCACTACGTATGTATGAAAAGAATTCTTAACACTTAGGGTATGTCTATCCTACGATTAAAAACCCACAGCTGGCCTGTGCCAGCTGACATGGGCTCACAGGGCGCAGGCTCGGGGCTATTTAATTGCATTGTAGACATTCAGGCTCGGGATAGAGCCGGGCTCTAGGACACAGTGCGCTGGGAGGGTCCCAGAGCTCAGGCTGCAGCCTGAGCTCGAACGTCTATGGCAGAATTAAACAGTCCCACAGCCTGAGCTCTGCAAGCCCGAGTCAAATGGCACTGGCCAGCTGTACGTATGTAACTGCAGTGTAGACATACTCTTAGTATGCTAATGCTTTTGCTTTTCTCCACAGATCTTAAAGCACTGTACAATAGTGGCTAAGCATAATTTGCCCCATTTTTTATAGATGGGGAAACTGAGACACAGAGAGCTTGAAGTGACTTGTCCAGTGTCACACAGTGAGTCAGTGGCAGATCCAGGATTAGAACCGCAGGTCTCCTCACTCTGAATTTTTACCCTATGCATCCATTCCCACCCATGTGTAACCTAAAAAGAGCTGTTCAGATGTACCAGCTGTTCAGCTGGTATTTCACATAGCAAAGTTAACAATGAAAGTTAGTCTGGGATCCCAGGTTTAAGATACAGAATGGTCACTGGTGTAGTGCAAAGGATGTACATCATTCTCTCTTCTAAGTGCTGTATTTATTCAATTTATCAGATTACATGTTTCTTCAGAAAAAAAACAAGTACCTGGTAGACATTGGCAAGCCAGGAGCTAGAAAGTGGAGCCAAGTCATGCATCTGCCTTGGCTCCATGAGTCAAAACATAAGCTAAGCCATGGTGAGTGCTGACTTACACGTATAAAAAGAGAACACAGAATGTGATGCATAAGTCACTTACACAAGCAATGTGATAATATTCTCACTGGTTAGGCACTTTCTTTGGCTCACCTTCCCTCATGGAGGCATAGCCAGACATTTTAATGCTAATGCTTAAAGCTTTCATTGTGTGGCCTATTGCTAGTTCCCATCTCCTTAAGGCAAAATGAAAGATAGGTAAACAGATCTTGTAGAATTATAAATCTCTTATAGACGTGCATAGCTGCAGACTATTGTTTTAGGTCTGTTTAACAGACACAAAAAAAGGTAGTCATATAAGGACGTTCTCATTTGGTTAAAGACTTCCATTGGAAATTGTGTGCATCTCAACCTAAATTGATGAAAAAAGAAAAGGAGTACTTGTGGCACCTTAGAGACTAACCAATTTATTTGAGCATAAGCTTTCGTGAGCTCATGAAAGCTTATGCTCAAATAAATTGGTTAGTCTCTAAGGTGCCACAAGTACTCCTTTTCTTTTTGCAAATACAGACTAACACAGCTGTTACTCTGAAACCTAAATTGATGAGTGGGTTCTAGCCTCTATGTTCACATGTGAAACACTTCTGAAAGGAGTGGGATTGCATAGATGCAACTTAGAAATGGATTTTGCCTAGAGTATGCCAAAGGGATCCTGGTAATAAGAATAAACCATAATCCCTTGTAAGAACAGAGCTGTCCTGAAAAACCTGAGATGGATGGAAACTCTAATAAGTACTTTAGAAAACAGAGGGGAGCTGTACAGTACATATGGATGTAATTCCCTTTATGCTCAGGAGTAACTTTACACTCATAAAAACTAGAGATGGGAAAGACCCAATAAATTAACTAATCCTTCCCGCCCAATCAATTTGTCCATTCTGTCACTGCAGGATTGTTACATACAGTGTATTATTAAATTCATTGCCCAATCAGGACGAAAGGCCCCAGTCTAGCAAGGTACTTAAGCATGTATCTAACCGTAAGCACATGAGTTAGTCCCATTGATTATATACGTATTGCAAGTAAGGCATGTGCTTAAGTAACTTGCTGAATCAAGGCCTAAATGTCTTTAATGGTTGGGCTTCTACAGAGATTTCCAGTCTAATAAATCTCAAAGATAGGAAACTTCCTGATTCACAGATGTTTTTTCCCAGTTTACACCAATACTCCTAGTTCAATATGAGATGTTAGTAAGGCCCCTAATTCTTGGTATCTAAGTCATGGTGCCCTGTACCATTCTAAACAGTTATTTCCCCTCCTCATTGTGTATATCTTTCTACTGTTTGTAGATGGTTATATCCCCTGCCATGATTGTTTGACCAAGCAGTACATTTCATTTTTTTCAGTCTTTTCTCAGTTCACACCCTTTAAACCATCTACCTTTTAAAGTGTCATCCGACCAGGCTTCTTATCTGATAATGCCATTCCAGGGAGCACAGCTGTTAGAGGTGATGTTCATAGGAATGAGGGAAAAACCCATGGTGGAGCCTGTTGGGTCTTTGGATACAGTGCTTGCTATTACTAAGTCAGGATTTGGCATCAGTGACCACACTGTGGTATTGGACTTCTTTTACTTCTTGCCTACATGAACACTTAGTTTACAGCAAGCTGGGGTATAAATCTACCCCACACTAGTCTGCTACGCACTCAGAGTCTACATGTACCCTGCTGCCACACACTAAAAGTTCCCTAGTGCATTTTAATTTACTCCTCTTTCAAAGCAGTGAAGATCAAAGCACACTTTTAGTGCATGGCAGCCGGGACCACACGGATACTAGGGTGGGGTAGGGTTATGCCCCAGCTTGCTGCAAACTAAGTGTTTGTGCAAACAAGCCCTTAGACTAGGTACTGTATTTGCATGGTAATGGTCAGGAAATGTTGACCTTTTGATGGCTTGTACTATTGGACCCTGCCCTTTTTGACTCCCTTGTCTGTTGTGTAACAAAAAGAATGAAGTTTAAAAGCCTAAAACCAGCAAGTTTCTTTTTTGTCTTTGCTCTAGATTGTAGCTAAGAAATATCGCAACTATGAGTTCCCGACAGAGATGACGGGGCTATGGCAATACCTGAAGAATGCTTATGCCAGGGATGAATTCACCAACACCTGTGCTGCGGACAAAGAAATTGAGCAAGCATATGCAGATGTGGCCAAGCGGCTCAGCAAATCCTAACTGACATCCGCAAGGGCTCAGTATCCCCAGGGGATTCCCAGTTCACAGATTCCTCTCCTTGTTGTCTTAGGAGATATTCTTCATCATGTTTCCGGTTGGCATCCCCATGACTTCAGCTGTTAAAGTGTATTGGTCAGGGCCAAATCTGCCTCTCCCTAGAGAAAACATAAGGCAACTACAGGGGGGTAAAAAACCCTCTGGAATCTGAACCCAAGAGCTGGAGCAAGTATTATTATTGGCAATCATCATCAGTATTTGCAACTATTCATCTTTTTTTTGTTAATATCAGCCACCTATTTTACTGGGAACTTTAAAAAATAGGATATTGAGCTGAAAAATTCAAGTAGATGGGTTAGGAATGTACAGAACTGGTTCTTCTCTGGCCCTTTTCAAGGATACTTTTTTTCTGATGTGATCTATCCAAAATTACACTGCTAGTGGGAACCTTGAGGTAGTAGGAATGAGGTTTTGTCTGAAAGCAAAAAGAGTTTGACCCTATGGGAGAAATTTCCTTAGCAGATATATTCAAAAACCTCTGTTTTAACAGGGCTGGAGGAGGTTATAAGATGCTCATTACTGATGTGGTGCTAGTGAGGAGAGCATCAGTGGATATGTCAAACTTGCAGATGCTGCTTGGCATATGATTTGCATGTTTCCACTTCATCCAAATCATAAACGGAAAAGAGAGAGAATGAGAGATGAACTGGACCGTTCACCCAAAAGCCCACCGGATCTCTGGGGAGACGTGCTCAGATGCTATAGTGATAGGGGGCAGATAATTACTCTGTTACGTAGAAAGAATCCTCACAGCTCGCTGAATTGTTAGATATTCTCACCTTAACTGTATATTTGCCAGCTTATTTAGATTGAGAGCCATGGGTGGGAGTGGAAATCTGTTGCCTCTTATGAATGCCAGATTGGGGAGAAATACCCAATTTATTTTTGAGCTTGTGAAACTGATCACCTTTCAAAGTTCATCTCCCATTCTAGACAGCAGGTTGGCCTGAAAACCTTAAGGAGGATGAGCTAGAAGGGAGACCTGAAGCAGAGAAACTCCCACTCCTAGCTAGAAAGTTGGCAAGTATACTAGCACAAACGCATGCAAGGTGGCTTTGTCCCACTCGTTCCCTGATTCATATCACTGCTGTCAATGACCCTTATCAATGACCCTTTTGACTGTGCACTAGGACTGTTTTCCAAAATGATTAGTTTGTGCTATGGGCAGTCGTATGAACAGATCTGCTTAGTTCTGATCACTTTATTGGTGAATCACTTTAAGAAATTAAGGGCGACAATTCTTTTGTATGAAATATAAAAGATTGAGTTGATTTAGCTAGCTACATATCAGGGAGAGGAAGGCTTCCAATCTTCATCAAATCTGGAGATTTATAGTTGTTTGAAAAGATCAAATAAAATTGAACTCTAGCATGCCTTGGCTTCACTCCTGATCAGCCCCTTGCTCCTGTATGGAACTGCAGTGACCTCAGTGGGACTCCAGACTGGCAAACCCTTAAATTGGGGAACCTAGGATCAGGCCCTTGTTTGCAATTAAAAAGCTAATGAACTGGAGACAACTTATAAGGCCAGAATCTGCTCTGTTACAGAGATGTAGCTCTAGAGTAATTCCAGTGACTTTGGAGGAGTTACTCTGCATTCACACCAGCACAGCTGAGAACAGAATCTTGCCCATTGACTGATGACATTTAGGGCTGACTACAGTATTGCACAGAGCAGTCAGTTTGTTCTGAACTTTCCAAAACCTTGGAAGAAAGTCCATGAACTCCCTAGTCTTCCCTCAGAATGGGCTATTTAAACAAGCAAATGCTTACACTCTTTACAATGTTGCTGAGAAATCAACTGGCTCTGAGAGCACAAGTAACAGCCAGCAAAATACAATGAGATTAGAAGAGTCTGCACATTCACATGTGGCTCATTAAAAATGTGTCTCCATAAAATAACCAGATTGGAATTGTTTGTATTTTTTTTTAAATTAAGATATTTAATTATTTATTTTGATTGATTAAATTCTTTCTTTCTTTCTTCTCAGCATATTGGTTGAACTGGCTCACTCTGTAAGACTGTTATAACCAAGGCTCTGCAAATGTAGTTTGTAATGAACAGTGGTTTCCTGTGTCTGATTAATGGCCATTTTGGATTTTTTTTCACTATGGCTTGGCTACCAGAACTCCAGCTGACCAAGACTTCACTTTTCTCAATCATCATCTAACAGGTTATTTTTTTAAAAATCAGAGGCTTTGTCTAATCAGAGTTGTGTATGAACTGTGAATAAAGAAGTAGAAAGCCTGCTGTTCTGTGCATTCTGTGGATGATTTAATTGGGGATTGGTCCTGCTTTGAGCAGGGGGTTGGACTAGATGACCTCCTGAGGTCCCTTCCAACCCTGATATTCTATGATTCTATGCATATTTTAATTGGAGCCTTTAAGAAGTTCACAAAAACAGACAGTGAGTCTCAGGCAGGGTTAGGTGAACCAGTTCAGGAGATATACCAATTTCTGCTTTCCCGTGTGAACTTTCATCCATTTCTTGAACCACATTTGAACAAAACCGTTTAAGGTTCTGAAATGTTCTAATACAGTTTGCTTTTATTTTAATTAAAAACAGATCCATACCAAAATCTCTAGATCTGAACACCCTCACAGTAGAGCTGGTTTTAAAATTTTCCTTCTAAAATTTTGTTGGTTGTTTTTGTTTTTTAGTGGAAAATGGCTTTTTACTGCAATGGACATCTTTATGAGAAAATTTCTATAGTCTGAAAATTTTTGAGATTTTGTTATAAAAATTCAAAATCCCCAAACCCCAATTTGTTTTGGTTTTCAGCAACTAAAAGACTAAATGTTATTTATTTAGTAAGTTAGTTTGGGGTTTTCAATGTTAACATGAAAAATCAAAATCAGTTAAAATGGGGAAAATGTTTTCAATCAAAATTTTTCACACAGAAAATAAATTAAAAAAAAAAACAACCACCCATCTTCTGAGTAGCTGTATGTCAAATTTTGTCGGAGATTCAAATCTGGATCTGGATCCTAATTTTGCATCTCATCCCTAACTCAATAATGGGCTAACCCAAAACTCTGGATCCAAACCCTCCTGAACTTTGAGTGAGTTTGAAATTCAAACCCCTGTTTTCAAGTTTGTAATTTTTGCACAGCTTTGTGCTTCTTGGCTCAAAATATGACCAGTAAAAGGAAGTACTGGAAATCCATGTAGAAGATTGTGCTGTTAAGATTTCCAGCCTCCTTCTCTAGACCCAGAAGGTTCAGATAAGCTTCTTTTTAATTTGAAAACTGGATACAATTAACTTAGGCTTGAATAGAGACTGGGAGTGGATGGGTCATTACACAAAGTAAAACTATTTCCCCATGTTTATCCCACCCCCCACTGTTCCTCAGAAGTTCTTGTCAACAGCTGGAAATGGCCCACCTTGATTATCACTACAAAAGGTTCCCCCTGCCGTGCTCCTCCCCTCCTCCCCCGCTCTCTTCCTGGTAATAGCTCACCTAAGTGATCACTCTGGTTACAGTGTATATGGTAACACCCATTGTTTCATGTTCTCTATGTATATAAATCTCCCCACTGTATTTTCCACTGACTGCATCCGATGAGGTGAGCTGTAGCTCACAAAAGCTTATGCTCAAATAAATTTGTTAGTCTCTAAGGTGCCACAAGGCCTCCTTTTCTTTTTGCGAATACAGACTAACACTGCTGCTACTCTGAAACCTGTCATTATGCAATGCACTGAATTTAGCCGTATGGAGTGGAAATCTATCAACTTCATGAAAAAACTCATACAGATACAGACAGACATCATCTTCCTTTCCAAATGCAAACAGATGGACATAGTACCAAAAGGACTGAAGGTAAAAAATCCATAACAATCTACATACCACACAGACTATGCTGACAGGTTGTGCTGCACGCTCTCAAAGAAACTGCGGAACCACCTGATCAACATCCTCTACAGCAAACAGGGAAAGATTAAAAATGAGCTCTCAAAACTGGATACTCTCATAAAAAAACAACCTTCCACACAAACTTCCTCGTGGCTGGACTTTGCAAAAACTAGATGAGCCATTTACAACACATTCTTTGCTTCTCTACAAAAGAAAAAGGACACTAAACTATCTAAACTACTACATGCCACAAGGGGCCACAACAGTGGTTCCCTTAACCCACCTAGCAATATTGCTAATCTATCCAACTATACTCTTAGCCCAGCAGAAGAATCTGTCCTATCTCGGGGCCTCTCCTTCTGTCCCTCCACCCCCATGAACATGATACAGTTCTGTGGTGACCTAGAATCCTATTTTTGATGCCTCCGACTCAAGGAATATTTCCAACACACCTCTGAACAACATACTAACCCACAGAGAGCTTCCTACCAAGACTACAAAAAGAAGGATTCTGAGTGGACTCCTCCTGAAGGTCGAAACAACAGACTGGACTTCTACATAGAGTGCTTCCGCCAACGTGCACAGGCTGAAATTGTGGAAAAGCAGCATCACTTGCCCCATAACCTCAGCAGTGCAGAACACAATGACATCCACAGCCTCAGAAACAACTCTGACATCATAATCAAAAAGGCTGACAAAGGAGGTGCTGTTGTCATCATGAATAGGTCGGAATATGAACAAGAGGCTGCTCGGCAGCTCTCCAACACCACTTTCTACAAGCCATTACGCTCTGATCCCACTGAGGGTTACCAAAAGAAACTATAGCATTTGCTCAAGAAACTCCCTGAAAAAGCACAAGAACAAATCCGCAAAGACACACCCCTGGAACCTCGACCTGGGGTATTCTGTCTGCTACCCAAGATCCATAAACCTGGAAACCCTGGACGCCCCATCATCTCAGGCATTGGCACCCTGACAGCAGGATTGTCTGGCTATGTAGATTCCCTTCTCAGGCCCTATGCTACCAGCACTCCCAGCTATCTTCGAGACACCACTGACTTCCTGAGGAAACTACAATCCATCGGTGATCTTCCAGAAAACACCACCCTGGCCACTATGGATGTAGAAGCCCTCTACACCAACATTCCACACAAAGATGGACTACAGGCCGTCAGGAACAGTATCCCCGATAATGTCACGGCAAACCTGGTGGCTGAACTTTGTGACTTTGTCCTCACCCACAACTATTTCACATTTGGGGACAATGTATACCTTCAAATCAGCGGCACTGCTATGGGTACCCGCATGGACCCACAATATGCCAACATTTTTATGGCTGACTTAGAACAATGCTTCCTCAGCTCTCGTCCCCTAATGCCCCTACTCTACTTGCGCTATATTGATGACATCTTCATCATCTGGACCCATGGAAAAGAAGCCCTTGAGGAATTCCACCATGATTTCATAGAATCATAGAATCATAGAATATAAGGGTTGGAAGGGACCCCAGAAGGTCATCTAGTCCAACCCCCTGCTCAAAGCAGGACCAATTCCCAGTTAAATCATCCCAGCCAGGGCTTTGTCAAGCCTGACCTTAAAAACCTCTAAGGAAGGAGATTCTACCACCTCCCTAGGTAACGCATTCCAGTGTTTCACTACCCTCTTAGTGAAAAAGTTTTTCCTAATATCCAATCTAAACCTCCCCCACTGTAACTTGAGACCATTACTCCTCGTTCTGTCATCTCCTACCATTGAGAACAGTCTAGAGCCATCCTCTTTGGAACCCCCTTTCAGGTAGTTGAAAACAGCTATCAAATCCCCCCTCATTCTTCTCTTCTGCAGGCTAAACAATCCCAGCTCCCTCAGCCTCTCCTCATAACTCATATGTTCCAGACCCCTAATCATTTTTGTTGCCCTTCGCTGGACTCTCTCCAATTTATCCACATCCTTCTTGAAGTGTGGGGCCCAAAACTGGACACAGTACTCCAGATGAGGCCTCACCAATGTCGAATAGAGGGGAACGATCACGTCCCTCGATCTGCTCGCTATGCCCCTACTTATACATCCCAAAATGCCATTGGCCTTCTTGGCAACAAGGGCACACTGCTGACTCATATCCAGCTTCTCGTCCACTGTCACCCCTAGGTCCTTTTCCGCAGAACTGCTGCCTAGACATTCGGTCCCTAGTCTGTAGCTGTGCATTGGGTTCTTCCGTCCTAAGTGCAGGACCCTGCACTTATCCTTATTGAACCTCATCAGATTTCTTTTGGCCCAATCCTCCAATTTGTCTAGGTCCTTCTGTATCCTATCCCTCCCCTCCAGCGTATCTACCACTCCTCCCAGTTTAGTATCATCCGCAAATTTGCTGAGAGTGCAATCCACACCATCCTCCAGATCATTTATGAAGATATTGAACAAAACCGGCCCCAGGACCGACCCTTGGGGCACACCACTTGATACCGGCTGCCAACTAGACATGGAGCCATTGATCACTACCCGTTGAGCCCGACAATCTAGCCAGCTTTCTACCCACCTTGTAGTGCATTCATCCAGCCCATACTTCCTTAACTTGCTGACAAGAATACTGTGGGAGACCGTGTCAAAAGCTTTGCTAAAGTCAAGAAACAATACATCCACTGCTTTCCCTTCATCCACAGAACCAGTAATCTCATCATAGAAGGCGATTAGATTAGTCAGGCATGACCTTCCCTTGGTGAATCCATGCTGGCTGTTCCTGATCACTTTCCTCTCATGTAAGTGCTTCAGGATTGATTCTTTGAGGACCTGCTCCATGATTTTTCCAGGGACTGAAGTGAGGCTGACTGGCCTGTAGTTCCCAGGATCCTCCTTCTTCCCTTTTTTAAAGATTGGCACTACATTAGCCTTTTTCCAGTCATCCGGGACTTCCCCGGTTCGCCACGAGTTTTCAAAGATAATGGCCAATGGCTCTGCAATCACAGCCGCCAGTTCCTTCAGCACTCTCGGGTGCAACTCGTCCGGCCCCATGGACTTGTGCACGTCCAGCTTTTCTAAAAAGTCCCTAACCACCTCTATCTCCACAGAGGGCTGGCCATCTCTTCCCCATTTTGTGATGCCCAGCGTAGCAGTCTGGGAGCTGACCTTGTTAGTGAAAACAGAGGCAAAAAAAGCATTGAGTACATTAGCTTTTTCCACATCCTCTGTCACTAGTTTGCCTCCCTCATTCAGTAAGGGGCCCACACATTCCTTGGCTTTCTTCTTGTTGCCAACATACCTGAAGAAACCCTTCTTGTTACTCTTGACATCTCTGGCTAGCTGCAGCTCCAGGTGCGATTTGGCCCTCCTGATAACATTCCTACATGCCCTAGCAATATTTTTATACTCTTCCCTGGTCATATGTCCAACCTTCCACTTCT